CCCCCCCCGCAACTTGCTTCGTGAATTTGTGACCACTAGTCTTCCTCTATCTGGCAAGTACTCAAAATACAGTTGTATTCCACTGGGTTTTCTCCTCTTTCCTTAACTAATTTTGGACCAGAAAGGCTCCTGTGTTTTATTTTCTCACGTGAAAAACTGGAAAATTCTGTAACAAGTGTTTGAAACAACGCGGACAATACAGAAAACAGAATTTTGGTACGTGGTTTGTTTTCACTGAATTTTGTTGAGGAAGAGATGAGTGTAACAATAACAAAAAATCCCTGGTTTTGTCTGTAAATGCACTATAACTTGAATGTAAATATGGGCCATTTTAGTCCTGCATTAGTGAAAGATGCAGTGAAGCTACACAGGAGTGTTAACAAGCATGAAAATCTTGCATTCTGCTGGGGAGATGGTAAAAACTTCAATGCCAATAGTGTACTTACTGGAGCTTAATGACAGCTCCCCATCATCTAAAGCATTGCTTATTTGCTTGACTGTGCCTCCAGGAAAAACTTCAAGGTGAAAGGCCGTGCTGCTTGAAAACAATGTAGCTGTCTCTAGCTATAATAATAAATCTTAACCTTGACTGGCAGGAGGCGTGTTGGTTTGCTTTTCCTTCACTTTTCCCCTGGAGATTCCCGTTTCTCTCATTTGAAGAAGCTGGGCAAGTCGCGTGGCCTTAGATGCGCCCTTCTCCATCTGGGTCCATGGCCAGCGGTGAAGGGCGGGCGCTGCGGTTGTGCCTGCCCCGTGGCACGCAGGGCTGTGCCGCTGAGGGCTGGCTGCGTCCACACGGCCCTGAGGGGGTTTGCACGTCCCACCTTCTGCCCTCTGGAGATGGAGAAGGGGCAGAAGGCGAAGCGTGAGGGGAGCACCGTGGCGAAGCGGCTGTGGCGTGCCAGGTCAGCTGCGTAACAGCTACCAATGCTGCAATCCAAGTGAAAGGATGAAACAACGAGCCCGAGGCGCGATGCCTGGTGACGCTCTGCATTCAGTACTTGCAAATGGGAGGAACAACCCCATGCACCAGTACAGGCTTTGGGTGGACCTGCTGGAGAGCAGCTCTGTGGAGAGGGACCTGGGAGTGCTGGTGCATGACAGGTTGACCATGAGCCAGCAGTGTGCCCTGGCTGCCAAGAAGGCCAATGGCATCCTGGGGTGCATTAGGAGGAGTGTGGCCAGCAGGTGGAGGGAGGTTCTCCTTCCCCTCTACTCTGCTCTGGTGAGGCCCCATCTGGAGTACTGTGTCCAGTGCTGGGCTCCC